TAACATAGTTACTAAGAAATATATGTTATACTAACTGTATCTGCATGATTTGCAAAGCCTAAACAAAGAAATAAATTCAATTTAGATATTTTATCTTAATATTAATAGATAGACAATGTTTTAGTTTTTTTAAATTTTGTGTGCCACTGAATAATTCTAATCTGGATTTGTTTTTCTATTATGTCTTTATCTGAGACTTTCTTTGTATGTTTACCTTTGGATTTGATGAAACAAGTCATTGAGAAGAGTTAAAATAATCAATTCAAGCTCCTGTGAATTCCTTAGTGATAAATAGGTTAAGGATTTTGCTACTTTCTGAAGAGAGACTCGATGTAAGAGATGAATAGAAAGTGCATTGCTAGAACAATGCTCCTCAATTAATTTTTAAGATTGGTTCCACTTGGTAAGTGTGGTCCCTAAAGTCCCCCTCCTCCCTCAGCCACAAAATAAGACCATTGCTGTTAGGCAGTTATCCGTTTGCAGAAATGCCGAAAACGAATGTTCTTATAAGCAATACAGTCCCTGATAAGTTTAACTATTAACAATGGCTGCAAACGATTTTCACTGAATGATTTCTGTCCTGATCAAGGTGGTTTTCCTTGTGTTTGCCTGGCAAACTGATGGAAGATAATTCGATAAAATAATTATGAGTTCGTGACCTGATGCTGAGGAGGGCTTTTAACTCTGCCATAAATCCTGCCCTCACCCCCTGACTATAGGTGCAGACTTTCCATTTTGATTGGGAAGGAGAGCGATGGAAAAAAAAAAAAAAAAAAAAAAAGAAGAAAGAAAAAGAATGCCGATAGTTCATACGTGTAAAACGAACAAAAATAATATTGGATATTTAAAAATAAATTTATATAGAATAGAATAGAAAAATAATTTTATTCTGGGACGAAGTCCCTTCAGAATAACAAAAAAGTACAGAAATTAAAATTTTACATCTGGCCAGATAAAAACAAACATAACAAATTAAGATAATGATAGGTCATTAAAGAAAAGAAAAGAAAAAAATATTGGTTATACCTACTATATACAAAATAAAATAAAAAAATCTATATAAAAAACTCTTGAAACCATATTAAGATACTTAAAACTATGTACGATGCTAAAATATAAATAAAACCTTTTAGAAAAAATAAAAAATACAGAAAAAATAAATGTATATTCTTCTTAACAGTAAAATCTGTTTCTGTTGAAAAAGAAAAAAAAAAAAAAAAGAGAAAAAGAAAGTCGAATCTATAATAAGTATTCAGGTCATGAGCTATATGTGAATATGGTCTTATATATAATGTGTAATTTTACATAAAAGATTAGCTGGTGCCTGACTGTTTTTGGGACAGGAATTGGAATAGGAGTGTTTTGAATGTAGATAAGGATGAAGAATGTCGAATTTTGATAGGAAGGGAATTCCAGAAACTAATAGAACGTGGAATAAAGGAGTTTTGGAACGAGGCAGATCTGTGAGAAGGAATGTAAAGGTCGGAAGGTCGAGATCTTGTGGAGAGGGAGTGGACTGAGGACTTGAATTGGAGAAGGTTTTAGGCGTAGGAAGGACGATGATTGTTGATGATATGATAGAGGAATGTACCTAGGAAATATTGTCTTCGAATGGAGGGGAAGAGCCACTCTAACTCAGTGTAATGGTGAGAGACATGGTAGTATCTCGGGGCACCAATTACAAATCTCACGCAACTGTTCATTATTCTTTTCAGTCTGTCGCGGAGCTCCACCGAGAGTCCATCATACACCACACAGCAGTAGTCAAAGTGGGGGAAGATGAGAGAGGAAACGAGGAGTCTGCGCGTATGTTGAGGTAGGAGATGGCGGAAGCAATGGAATAGTTTGAGGGTAGAGACTGTCCGTCGGGAGATGTGAGAAATATGGTGACTCCAGGAGAGGGTTTGATCAATAAATAGTCCTAAATTTTTTACAGAGGAGTAGAAGGAGATTGGCTGGTCACCAAGGTTTAGTATGGGAAAGTCTGTATAGGATCTAAGGAGGGGCTTGGAACCAATGACAATGGCCTGAGTTTTTGAAGCATTTAACCTTAATCCGTTTAATTTTGCCCAGGCACAGATTCGATCTAGGTCTGCTTGGATCTTAGTAAATGCTACCAATAGCTCAGGGGGAGAAAAGGATAGGTATATTTGAGAATCGTCTGCATAAAGGTGGTGGGAACAATGGAGAATTGAGTCATGGAGGTCATTGATATAGGAACTAAAAAGGAGAGGAGATATGCTAGATCCTTGGGCAACTCCAGAGGATAAAGGCAGGTAGGCAGATAGTGGTTGATTAGGAATGGAGACTGCTTGGGTGCGTTGTGATAGGAAAGATTGGAACCAAGAGATGGAGCTATTGGAGAAGGTGAGTGATTTTAGTTTGTTGAAAAGGATGGGATGGTTAATGGAATCAAAGGCTTTAGAGAAGTCAAGAAGTATAAGGACAGTTAGTTGTTTATTATCTATTGCAGTCTGAACATCATTAGTAATTTTGATTAAGGCGGATTGTGTGGAGTAGCCGGGATGGAAACCAGATTGGAGAGGATCGAGTTGGTTAGACTTTTCTAGGAAATTGGAAACTTGGGATTGCACCAATCTTTCTAGGGGTTTTGAGAGATTGGAAAGAATTGAGATTGGGCGAAAGTCTTCGGGAGAGGATGGATTAGGCTTTTTATTTAAAGGGAGTACAATGGCTTTTTTCCAAGAGGAAGGGAATATTGAGTTCTGTAGGGAGAAATTGTAAATGAAAAGGAGAACTGGGAGGATTTCGGGGAGACATAATTTTATCAATTTGACAGGAATGCCATCTGGTCCTATGGAATTGGTGTGGGATTTCATTACTGCGGTTAGTAAGTCAGTCGGGGAAATGTAGGAGAAATAAAAGTCATCATCATTAAATGATGACTCAGGAGCAAAGTTGGAAGAGGAGGGAAGAGAAGAGGTAGAGGAGGCAGATATAAAATGTGAATTTAAATCGTCAGGTGAAACGGAAATGAACAGTGAGGAAGAGGATCTGGAAGGTTCACAGAGGGAAAGTTTGCGAAGGATTAGCCATTTAGATTTGGGATCTGGGGCAGATGACAGGGCTTCATGGAAGTAGGAAGCTTTAGCTCGCCGAATTCTTGTTTGTGTCAAATTGCGGAGCCTAAACGCTTGATAGTCATCTGTAAGCGTAGTACGTCTAAAGCGTCTGCGGGCAGCATCACGCCTCTTCTGCAGATCCTTGATTTCTTGACACATCCAAGGTGCAGGGCGGCGGCGAAAGGTTGAGGTTTTTATGGGAGCATGGGTGTTAAGGATATTGAGGAGATTGGAAGTCAGGATCTCAACCATGGAGTCGATGGAGGAGCAGGAATATATTTCGTTCAAGTCTAAGGTTTCAAGGTCAGGTAGTATTTTTTCACGGGTGAGAGTGTCTATCTGACGGAAAGTGAAGGTTCTCGGATGAATCAGAGGGGTTTGGATGTTATATGTTATTTGGATCATGTCGTGAGACGATAAGAAGGATACTGGCAGTTGAGAAGAGGAGAGGAGATTTATTTCGGAGTCTATAATGAAGAAATCTAACCAAATGTCGGCCTTGTGGGTGTGGTGAGTAGGATAAAAAGGAACAATAAAGAGATGGAGGGAAAAAAATAGGTTTTCTAGATAGGTTTTGTCTTTGGAATTAGAAAGGAAATTGGTATTGAGGTCACCGGCGATGATTATTCTAGGATAGAGGGGAACAAAGTTGAGTAGGGTTGATTCTAAGGACGGATCAAATGGAACAAGGGGAGGACGGTAGATCACTATGTAAAGGAGAGGGGAATTATTACAGGTAATTTCTACTAGAAGGTACTCCACTTGTGGATGTTCGGAGGGTGGGGAGTAATCAAGGATTCGGGACTTCAGGCTATCATGGACAAATATGGCCACCCCACCACCAGTCCGGCTGACCCGGTCGTGGCGGATGAGGGTGTAATTAGGTAAGGAGACAGATGAGGACGGAATATAAATATATATATATATATATATATATATATATATATTTAGACAGTAGTAGGATTTTTTTATTTGCTTTTGGATATATCTGAACAAAACATTTGGATATATTACAATTTGTATAAATTGAACATGATAGGAAGGGGATGGCCTCATTAACATAGGTACATTTCACAAACTTTTCAGTTAAAAATGAATAATGTTAAAAACTGAAAAATACTTTTGATTTCTTAGTTTGTGCAACCTCCAAATAAAAATAAAATGTTTTCCCAGCCCGACTGTGTAAAAATGTATATAAAAACATTATTTATAAAATATATTTATACTTGTTCTGATTAAATATATTTTTTCCAACTTTATTACAGAAAATTTATAGGAAAATCACATGAAAACGTAGGTGCCCACATAAAGGTGAATGAATCATAAAATCCAAGGATATGTTTCTACATTTAGATTGTGATAAAAGAGTTACGTACCAACTTATAAGCCTTAGCTTAGCCAGCTGTTCTCCTCTCCCTCCTCTATTAAAATCCAATGCAGGATTCTTTGAGAATTTTTACCAATTATTATGGGAAGGGTAATAAACAATTTCTGACGAATTTCATATTTATTTTTTTAATGTGGGGTTAATCTCTAATTTTACTTGACTATGAATCAGTTTACAACCATAGACATTGGTTATGGTGTTCAGCCAAGTATTGCATGCTCACCAGTATATTTTAAAAACATTCAAAAGGTTATCATACGCACCAAGAATATAATACAGTGTTCCAATTTAATGATGAGCTAGCGTACTAAGACTAGTGGTTCAGATCTGTGTGGTTTCAATATTTTCTGGTCAACAAGATAATGCACAAAAAATCTACTTCTATTATTGTTGAAAATAAACTATAACTAACATCTAGATACTAGTTGGGGAACCTTTTGGTCATTAGATGCTGCGTTAAGGTTAGACAGTGATAATGGATTCCACAATAATTTATTATATTTTACTGTGCTATTTCATTTATGCTTTAAAAAAATTGATATTTTATTCATGCTTAAAAAAAAAAAACACACACACTGCCATATTTCAACTTAATTCTATTAATTTTTAAATTTTTGTAACCTAAATAATAACATATTAATTAATTCTAGCATTAGATATATAAAGGCCACATATACAGAATAAATTATTGGAGGCTGCAGGTTTCCCAACTAGGGTCTTGATATGAAAAGGAGTTGATTGGGGGATGCGCTGAAATAAATAATAAATTTTAGAAATAGTATTATTTAATTATTATGCCGACGTTTCGACCCACCTTGCAGGTCTTCAACAGGGCATGGGATGTGGCACCTAACGTCGGCATAATAATTAAATAATACTATTTCTATAATTTAGTATTTATTTGAGCGCACCCCCCTCCCCTCCCTCTGATCAACTCCTTCTCATATTATATCATGGTCAACCATCTCTACATCATCATGGTCTAGATACTTCATAAGAGACAACCTTTTAGTGCCAGCAGTTGTCTAACTGAGTGCCACAAAATTTTTAAGTAATTAAATAACTTTAAAATTGAAGCATTAAATTAAATAAATAAGTAAAACATAATATAGGTTTTCATTATAATCATATTTTTGGTTATGTAATTATTTTATTTTACTTCATAATTTATTATTACATTAATCAAAAAATAAATATATAATAAACAAAATAATAATAAGGGTGCGAACAATTTCATTTAATAATATTATTGTGCAGATGGCCAAAATATTTGAAAAACCACTGGTCTAGCACAGCTACCGAAAATCAAAAGTAATTTAAATTAGCTTTAAACTTTCTATAACAAACATCAATTAAAGTTTGGATTTTTCTAAATTTTCTAATTGATTAGCCCTGGTCTCTTTACTAAAAGCAGCCTGCATGAGATTCCTAGATTAGTTTCTAGCAATTAGATGAATGGGCTCGAGGGTGAAGTGCCGTGTATTTTTTTATCCAATATATAAAATTATAAATGTAGATAAATTGCTTATTTTAAGAGCTATTAAACAAAATAAAAACAATGGTTCAACATCTTATCAAATAATATATTTATGGATCAATTACATTACACTATATTAAAAATACTAAAGTTTTGATATTTTATCATATATGATAACATAGATGATTCAGAATTCAAACAATCATCAGAAAACATTGATAAAAAGGAAAAGAGAATGAAGAAAGGGAAATAAACACAAATAAGTAACATAGGCTTTTTAATAACAATAACACTAGTGTGAGATTAATTATTAGGAATACGTTTATTCTTTTCACATTAATGTTAAGTTTTCAGGCAGCATTAAAAACATTAATTTGAGCAAATGAATTTACTTGTTTGTAATTCTTACCAATCACTTAGAATGATGTTTCTACAAAAATAAATAAATAAATAAAAATTCAATAAATATCACTAAAATAAAATGAGTCTATGTGTGTCTTAAATAAAGAATATCTGCTTGTTCACAAAAATAAATATAAAAGTAACACAATAATTTAATAAAAACCACCAAAATGTCAACATTTTCATTTATTCTACTTTACATTTATCATTTTATTTTATTAATTGATATTATAAGCAAACACTTAAAAGTTAGTACTTAGGACGACAGTAATTAATAAGTAAAATCCTATTTCAGATCTTTATTTCAAAGCTTTGGACATGTTTAAATTAACAATTGTCTGAGTCATAGATGTATTCATAAAATACTCAAGTCAACATAAAAAATATAAACACTAAGTTTATTAAAAATAGCTGAGATTGTCTGCATTACCATTTCAGGTATCATTAAATAAAATCATTAACTCACAAAAATAAAATAATAAACCTACATTGTCAATGTCAATTGGCACTAGAGCAATGAATATAAATATTCAAAGGGGATTCATTAATAAATAATTCAAGTAAAAATGTAATGCCAGCACCATTATAAATAAATAATAACATCATGACACAACTTGTTCTCCATATTTTCTTCTTTTCAAGTACCACAATGGCTTTTTTAAAACTTGAAATATTATTAATATGATTTCAAACAGTGGACTGCCATGTTGAACCAAATCCAGCATCTGAATCAGAATCCTGTGCTTCCATGGGTTTTCCTTCACTAGCAATGCTACCCCTGGGTGAGAAGTCAATAGCTCTTTTTGATTTACGCTTCTTAATAGGAGCAAATTTAGGAGGGGGCATCTTTTTGCCATCACCCTATAAAATAGAAATGATTTAAATTATAGAAATTTAGAAACAATTAAAAATGTTAATGTTCTTTAATATACCAACTAACCACACCCCCCAAAAAATGTTTTACATTTTATTTCAGAAAAAGACCCAACCTAATATGACTTTCTGCTAGAAAGTGTACTGCATCATTTTATAAATAAAATGGAGTCACATTATTTTTTCGTAGACTATAAACATCCTTATTCTAAAAGGTTTTACGTTTTAATGTATGGCTTTACATCTGAATTTAAATTAAATCTTTTTAAATATAGTTTTTACTATAGAAAAATTTGTCTATATTCTCTTTTTTTAAAGTTGTTCACTTTTCTTATGGGATAGCGCTAAGAGATTTGTATAAAGTCAAAATCATAGCTTATCTATAGATTTCATGTTAGACTCATAGTGAATCCCTCTAATCTTGACACGCCTGTCCTGGAAGTAGCTTCTTACAAGTGAATGTAATGTAATATACACCTTTATTGGAAGTGGGTAAAAATGATTTAATAAATTAATGTTGAACAATTAAAAGGCAAGCTAATCTAATTCTACTAGTGCAGGGAAAAGGAAATGGCTACTCTGTAATTTCCCAAGAAGGAAAATTCCAAAGAGGAGAGGGACAAAGGTTTTTGTTTTGGCAAGCAGTTGTTGTGTGACTGCAGTGAAGAGAGGTTAAGAGAAGATATCCTATCCTGGCTCCAGTGGGTAAAACCCAGTAATAGTTTTACCATCTTAGAAGATCTTGTTTGGCAGGGAGAATATTTGTTTGGAATTGCAAGAGAGAGGATTTCCCAGAGAGCTTGAGTTGAGTGGAAGAATAGTGTTATAGTTTTGGGATATGTGTTTGGCAGAACATAAGAAAATGTGTGAAGACAAATGAGTTCAGTACCACAAAGGAAGAAACATTGTATGTAGAAAAAGGTTAGCTTGTCAATTCATACTTGACTTTATTTTTAAACCAGTGTTTAATTTTAATATAATAATAATAATAATAATAATAGTGTAAATAATAATAGTTTGTCTGAGTTGATCTGATTGTCAGTAACCCATACCTGAGATAAATAAATATATTAATTCTCTTATAATTTTGTTTATTATTAAACAACCTCTTATTTATTTAGGAAGTATCCCATTGGTAAGAAGTGAGCTGTCCAAGGTATTATTATTATTATTATAATTTGTAAAATATGAGAGGGATGTTACAGTAAATTGCTGGGAGCATCGTATCTCTGCCGCTATTGGAGCAAGCTAGGCCACCATACACTGTCGAAGGCGGAAGATATATCAAAAAGTAGTAACATAGCATAACGCTCTGCCCTCTCTTCAACATCTTGGCGCACACTAAGCAGGGCATAAACTGGACATCATGAGGTTCTCAAGGACCTTGCTCATTATAGGAAGGAGACATATAGGTCTATATGAGTTAGGGAGTTGCTTATCTCTGTCTCCTCCCTTGTAGAGGAGTCTCAAATCAACAATCTTCCAGCTTCGTGGGAAGTATTCTGTATCCAGACATTCATTGAAAAATCTTAAAATATGATCTTCAATATACGGAATACTGTTCCTTAAGATTGCCGCGTCTATTGCATCAAGACCTGGAGAACGTTTAATTTTCTGCCTATCCATGGCAATACAAAGATCGTGAATGTCCCTTGGTGGGCATAAATCTGATTCAGGTGGATAAACTAAGGTAGGTCTCACAAAACTGTCATTTTCGCTGTCCTGGGCTGAATGATCCCTAGGGTATATTGCTTCAATGAAAATACTGGCAGTCTCTTCCAGGGGCTTGCCTGAATATCTTGATATTTCAAAGCTGCATTCGTCTGCAGCGGGGTCAGCTTACCCAATGCCACCCTGTACTGCATAGCCCACCGATCCTTCGACGATGAAATCGTCCCAGGACTTCTGCTTTTGTTAGCAAATCTCATTTCAGTATATCCTGGATTTAGATTTATACTCATTCTGAAGTGCAATGCACCTCTCGTCACATCTGCACCTCTCATATGACCGCCGGGCCTTATAGAGGTCTCTCTTTAGAACAGTTAAGGCTGGAGCCCACTACGGAGTTTTCGACAGCGTCTGGAATAATATTGGTGAGCCTAGATACCTTGTAATCCAGGTCATTAGCTATGTCCATCTCAATCACATCCCATCCTTCATCTACAATTAATCCTTCCAGACAACACCTGAAGACACTCCACTTATCAATACCGTGCGAACATCCTGGCTTATCTACCAGGTCAATTGCTATTGCAATGTAATCGGAACTCGTTTCAGAACTGAGAGTCCAATCTGTGACGTATCTCGTAAGCACAGGCGATCATTAGAGGTGGCAGAGGGTTCATTAATCATGACAAGGTGATTTCTGGCTACGGAATCTCCCATTTTCTTGCCTCGCCTATCAGTAATATTGAACCCCCAGACCATATTCCAGGAGTTGGAATTTGAGCAAACGATCACATTCCTCATCTCTCTAATGATCGCTTCCATAGTGGATATACTGGCAGTCATCACTGACAGGCAGGTATGCCAACACAAGTGTGAAGGTAATCTTACCCCCTTTAACATAGCATGATGCATAATCCGCCAAGGTGTGCTGTCTCAGATCCATCATGTCGAGGTTAGAATTATTCATCACTTTGATCTCCTTCCCTAACGCAGTTAATGCAGATCAGGGCTTTTTATTTCTTTTTTCAGGACAATCTTTAGCTATGTGGCCAGATGCACAGCACCACTTGCAAATGATACCATTAGCCTCGCATGTGGCCCTAGTATGTCCGTATCCTTGGCATCAAAGGCATGGAGGAGCATCAAGGTAATCAGTGAATGTCAATACCCACCAACCTCCAGCTATTATTTCCTCCTTAAGAAGGTTACACCTAACTACTGGGTTCACTTCAATCACCCAATTATTCGTGATCTGGTTTTTGTTTGTTTTCCGGTGTAGGGACTGCTTTCGCAGCTAACTTCTCCCACATTATCCTTTCTAGATTTTTTGCTCTCTATGATCGTGGAACACCTTTAACTTTCAACTTATGTTTCCTCTTCAGAGCTAGTTTTGCCTCCATCTTCCTCGATGAAAATGAAAACTGAACCAGCTTTGGTAGCTCAAACAATTTTAACATTTATTCCAAGATCTGTTGGAGGAGGCAAACCTTATACAAGATATCCTCAATAAAGAAAAGTAGACAAGCAAACCTGGAGACTTGATATAGACACTAACGGATCCGGAGTAGCGAGGCCCACTCCCCCCCTGGAAGGTGAGAAAAAATTTTACTTTAAAAAAGTAACTTAATATTACTTACCTTAAAAAAAGTAAGTATGTACTAAACAACTGGTACCTTAAATATTATTGTTTTGATTGAAAAGTGAATTGTATTAAACAAATAATTTTTGTTTATACTTTGATCTAAAAAACAATGAATAATTAAAGCAGTCTGAATATTTACACCAAACATTCTTCATTTATTGGTGAAATATCTTAATATTGTAGCTGAAAGTAGTTACTAGAGTACTCTAATATCTTAGAAACTATTAGTAATTGAAATTGAGGAAAACATTATGTAAAATTTCATGTTTTATTCAGTTAAGAAATTTTGACTGCCATTTTATAGCAAACTGCTAAAAGAGATACAAAATAAAACAAACATTTTTTTACATAGATAAAATATAAGTGATTTCGTCATCAAGATAAACAAGGCACCTACAGAATGTATAATGTTTCTGAAAACTATTTCATCATCTTTATAAACAGAAATATTCATATAAAAAATGGTAAGTTTAAGCATACCTGTGGTAAATTGTCAGCTGAGCCCCAATGTTTATGAATTTTATCATTGCTTCCAACACCCAAGAAATTACTAAAGGCCTCAGTCGTCCTCTTCACTCTCACGTTGAGAGAACCAATCCTCAAGAAACCAAGGTCTTTCTCTATTAAAACAAAATAATCAATTATTACAAAATTATTGTTTTATTTTCTGTAAAAGAGAAAATTAAAAATTGCACGCACTGCAAAAAGGAAGTCAGTAGATAATCAAAAGGCAGTAAATCATGACTGTCCTAATAATTGTCCTTTAAAATAATATACTTCACTTATAACTACAATGTGTCAACATCAGCAAATGAAGTGAAAATTTAAATCATAACTCAAATTTTCAATTATATTAGATTCATTATTAATGAATTTGGTGAATGAGTTAGCTCAGCCAATTAATGAAAAAAAACAAAAACATTTCAAATAAATAAAATTTTGGACTGTATATAAAAACATGCAAACATAATGTTCATTTTTCTTATAAGGATATAAATAAGAGAAGGTACATTTATTCTTGTTTATCTTCAGATTAAACTTCCATATTGTTGAATTTTATTCCATCTACCAGTTACCACTTTTTGCATTATGAGTTGTGTTGAGTGATTGTTTCCAATATTTCAATTAAAAACAGTGATTTATGATTTCTTTATAGAAACCTTTTCTTTCATTTGCTCCAATAAATGAGATCAAATTTTGACTTTCCATTGAAACAATATTATAGAACATTTATAACTACTATCACCAAAACACTTTTTGACTATCAACTTTATTTTTAAGTTCAAAACATACTTGATCCAGCCTTAACAAAGAAAAATATTTTCATATTCATTAAAATAGAGCTTATAATTAATATCAAGCTTCTCAGAGTCTTTACTTAAAAAAAAAAATAAAAAATAGAAATAGGTCCAAATAAAATTAACTTCCTTGACTTGACCATTTCAAATGAGAATAATTTATTAACATTTGATATTTACAGTAAACCGACTACTACAGACATAACAATATCGTTTTTAAATTATATTTTATTACTATTTGATTGCTTTGCAAAAAATGTTCATTGTTGCTGTTAATTTTATTATTTTACGTAGCCTGATGAAGGTCTGATAAAAGACCGAAACCGGTTGCGCAAAGAGAGAAAAACAAAGAATTATACAGCAAGACATCGTTTTTATTAAATTAAATTTCAATCCTGTAACATCAAGCCTAATTAAAGAATTAAATATAAGTGCATATTGGTCTGCTTTTGGAAATTAAAAATCTAACAATAAAGGTCACAAAGTAATCAATTTTTCTGTTTGTTCCTCCACCGAAGATTATATCTTGTAACCTAATCATCAAATGATGGAATAACAACTAATATAATAACGGATCTGAAATCCGTCATGCCTCTTCCTTGTCCTCATTTAAATATCATCTTTACCAATTCCTTCTCACATCCCAAAATGACGTTATACAATAAAATAAATATTGTGAAACAGATTTTGACTGAGGTGAATGATTGATAAAATTTATTGTCTTAATTTTAAAAATCAACCCATGCTTATTTTATTTTATTTTTATTTTCATTTAAATAATGTTGTTGTTTTTTATTTCGTTTTTTCTCAAAATTTTATTTTATTTTTACTTGTTTTAATTTAATTTCACTGAAGATACTGTATATATTCTTTAATATTGATTAATGTAATTTTTGGCCAGATGTAGTTTTAATTTTTTTGTTCATATCTGTTATTCATAAGGGACCTTGTCCCAGAATAAAGTTTACTTTCTATCTATCTATCTATCTATCTATAATAGATCTTATCAGCCAAGATTCATTTCAAATCTTATGGATGGTTTAAGCAGCAAAATGCCTTGAAACACAGTTTTAGAAATTTTATAATAGACAATTCTCTAAATGCTTAGCATCAAGATACAAAACCACATAATTAAATAAATAATTACTTTGTATATAGAAACTGGTAAGACATTGATTTGTTTTTGTTGAATTTTAATTCTTCAAGTCAAATATTTTTCCTCTTTGACAACCTTATCTAGATTATTTAGAACTAACTTCAAAATAAACCAAAAACAGTCAATGGTCTGCCCACTCATTCTTTATACCAACAGGAGGCTTGCTAATTTTATTGTCACAAATAAAGGAATTTTTTTCCAGTATCTTGTTTTATTAACCTTGAAATTTCTTGTTTTAATGAATTTTAATATTTCCTAGTTTTTTTTTTGTTTTTTTTTATCATTTGTCTCTCAACTACCTCATTTTTGGTTTTGAACTTGACTTTTTGATAACGGTTAAAGCCTAAGACTTATTGGGTTGGCAAATAAGTCCTTTCGGTTGTTCTGTTTATGTATGTATGTCACTATGATGCACTTCTTATCTGATGAATTAATTTCTAAGGTTGATTGTTTATCCTGTTTGTAATATGTCAACAACTACATCTGTTAAGTCTTATTGAAACTAGCTTAGTATTGTGTTTGCTATTGCACTGTGAATATGGAAGGAAATATTCATTCATTATCGGCATATTTTGTTGTATTATTTTTAAAAAGTTAAGCGTGCTGCAGCTCATAGAAAAATTTTCAGTGTTTATGGGGATAATGCTTTAACCGAATGCACCTGTCAAAATTTGTTTGCCAAATTTCATTCAGGAAATCAATGATGCTCAACGGTTTGGTCGCCTACATGAAATTGAAACGAGCAATGTTAAGGCCATTGTTGATCAAAATCCCACCCAATCAGTGCAGGAGATTGCTATGGCCCTAAATGTGTCACACACAAGCGTAGAAAACCATTTGCACAAGCTCGGCCATGTTTCCAGGTTTAATGTTTGGGTCCCTCACATGATTTTTTTTCGAAAAAAAAAAATGTTATAACTTCAATAAGACTTTAGCTATCCAAAAGAAATCAGCAGGAATTTAGGACTACATAAACTACACAAAATGACATTAACAGGACCTTTGTAAACAAACTACAAATGGGGTTAAAAAATAAAAACCTATAAGGAGTTTTTGTTTATTTATTCCTTATGTAAGCATTAAATCAAAAAAGCATTTACATGGCTTTGAAGAGCAATAATTCAGCTTTCCAACGGATATAGTAACATCGAATTAGGAGAACATCCTAAACAGTTATGAATGATCGGAAGGGTGTTGTGTGGTCACTCGCAATAAATTATTGAGCCTTAGATGGGATATTTCGCCCAACTCTCTTTATTCACCAGACCTAGCTCCAAGTGACTACCACTTATTCCGGTCTCTGCAGAACTCCATGAATGGAAAGAAATTCCAAAAGGAAGATTACATCAAAAACCATTTAGATCAATTTTTAACAATTAACCCCAGACATTCTAGGAACATGGCATTGTGCAGTTAGTGGAAAGATGGGGAAAAGTCATATTAAATAATGGTCAATATATTGTAGATTAAAATAAATTTTATGTCTATAATAAAATTGAGTTTTATTTCACCCTGAAAAACCGAAAGGACTTATTTGCCAACCCAATACATTTATAACTGAGAATTTTGTATTAGTCATTGAGATAAATCCATTCATTTTAGTTTTTTTGAGTATTTTCTTTTCTAGAGTTCATAAAGTAGTAACTTTTAGTAATGTTCACTATCTTGGATTTTACTTTTTGAATTGAAAAGATAAGGAACCCATCTCTTTAATCCGTTTGTTTACTCATCTCTGGCAAAAAAAAAAATCTACATGAGCTCTTTTTAAAGTAAAAAAGCTATGAAAGGATTTTCTGTTCATATTTGTTGATTTAATTACTAAGATTTGAAGTTTCCCTCACTCTACTTTAATAAATTTTTAAGAAACAACTTTAACTTATAATTTTCTGACTATCTGCATTTGTGATTTATTGATTAATACAAGAAACTATAGTGAAGCGCTAAATAAGACTGAAATTCACTTGATTGCTGTGAATTTATAGAAATGAGGAAAAAAAACTTACCTGCATGTTTTTTTCTTGCTTTGATTTCTGTAAACAAAGTAAATACAATTAGTAAAATATTTTTAAAAATGAAGCTATTTTTCATTGACAAGACTATAATAAGAAGTAGAAAAAACATTAGTATAATAAAATAATTATTATATTCAGCATAAAATATTTTTATAGTAAATATAGGTTTTCATAAAATGAGAAATCAGACTTAAAATTCAGAATTTTATCTTACCCTGTAATCCTTACATTTTATTCTGATTTGGGAATCAGTTGAGTATTGATTATTAGTAAAACTTTGGACATCATTAAAATACCTTATTGTAAAACATTGTTATTTACCAACCATAAGAAAATAAATAAAAGTAAAAAAGTAAAGAACCTAATCAAATTAAATCTAGATATACTTGAGGCGACTGTTGTACTTGTATTTATCAAGGGAAAAGGTATAAAATACATATATATACTATTAATACATTGATGTATAAATGTATAATAATATAAATACATTACATTGATAAAACAAAGAGTAATAACTTTTAATAACTACTCATGAAAAGAATGAGTAATTCTCTATTAAATCATTTTTCATTCAAATTGATTTATGACAGGATCAATTCACAGATTACTTAATCACTTTTAGTGAATTCCTATAATTGTAACTTTCTTATATTACAGCTGAAATTTTTGACAAATTTAACTCTTTTTTTTAGTGACAAATAAACAAATAAACTTTGATTTTATGTTCTAGATGTTCCAATAAAGAGATGAATCCACTGAAAGAATTTAGTTATGATTAAATATCTAATTATACTTACGATTAATATGAAATAACACATTTACAGAATTTTAACAATTAATGCTTGAACAAATCATTATTTAAATTAAATTAGGCTAGTGCGAAAAATTTACTCATCATCTTTGTTTTCTTGACAAATGACGAAAATAGTTGTCGGAATTGATTTAGAGCTTTTGTTTGAAATTAAAAATGAAATAATAAATTAGTAAAATATTTGAAGAATTAATTTCATTTTCAATTTTCCAATCATTTTTACAAGATTAAAAGGAAATCTTGGAGAGTATATGAAGATATTGATTTATGTTGCTATAAATGACCATATTTGCTAAACATATTTACATATATGTTACATACACTTACGTGAAAATATGTTGAAGAATGTCAGTGGTATATATGGACTAGAAACAATACCATCAGATCATCAGATAGAAGGGAATACAAAATTGAATTATAAATAAATTTTTAAATACAAATCTAAGTTTGTTGTCAGGTAAACTATTCATTCTGCTTTTACAGTTTTGATTTTTTGATTTGCGAAAATCATAGATCACTATTCATCTTTTGTTTACCTTACCTCAAAGCCACTGTTCAGGAGAATAAAGTCAAGTATGTTTTGTTATAAATTATGTTTAACAAGTAACAGTTTTCATTTAATAAACACTTACTTTGTTATTAAATTGTTTATTTATTTTTTATGGGTGTGGGATGAACAAAAGTGTTTTATTGTGTCCATAAGTACAAAGAAAGATAATGGGATATTAATACCAATGAATTTTGTTTCTTTTTAATCTGCTTTAGGAAGGTCTGACATCAGATGACTCCAATCACAAGCCTTTTCTAACCACTAATTGTTATAATTATAATTGTACAAAAATTGTTTGCTTTATCTTTGGTGATTTAATTACTTTTTAAAAGAGCATTTGGAATATTTGTTATTCTTTAAACAAGAATATCAGTTAGGCAGGTTTGAAAATTTACAATCTGCCAAGTTTTTTCAATAAGTCTGTGCACATTACATATTTATAGGGTACATTATATATTAAGTAAGAAAATCTCTGGGCCACCACCTCAAAAGTTATTGGGGTGGAATGTACCGGTTTGTGGTAGAATGTTAGGTGAGATATATAGTGTTTGAGATTTAAGAGAAGGAAAAAGTAGAACAGGGTACCATAAGAACATGTGCAGGGATTGAGATTCCATAAAACAAAACAAAAATAATTTCACCCATACAGGAGATAATTGTGGCACAAACACTCATTCACACAGACCGCTAGCTGAAAATACATTTCTGGAACCAGGAGGATCTAAATTGTATAAACCCATTGAAAACTGCATAACAAAAACTTACTGATTACAATATTATCGTTACCTATCTAACATTATGAAACCTACTTTCATAATGAGCTTGCAATAAATGGAAACAAAGAAAATCATATTAAAAAAGTATATATACTTCAAACCAATAAGCATATTTTAAATTAAAGTGCTACCTCATAACTATAAATACGTGCAGTCCACAGTATTACTAATGCCATGCAATTATTCTATGAGAAATACTAAAATAAAGAAAAATTAGGTTCATATTAAGAAGAAAACACCAAAAAAAGTCTACTCACAGTAGTATTTAAATAGTTTATTTCAGATATGTACAACCATGCAATGATTAAGAACTGGAAAAAAAACATGCAAAGTAATAAATAAGTTAAAAATATGAGGCTCAATAAAACCAAAATAATTAAATTTATTGGAATTATCTTTTGATCAAAGTACAAAGATAAAGATATTACTTGCCCATTTTTCATTGCCAGAAATCCTAAAAAATAGTAAATAATAAGTGCTATAATAATTAAAAAGAAAAACAAAATAAAAGCTTTCTACTCAAAAGAACTACAATGCAACTAAAGCGGGCCTTTTATACCTTTTGCTAATTTAAAAGAAAAAGCAGCTTGAAACTTTAAAAATAAAATAAAAAAATATAAGAATGACAATAAGGACAGAAGAATCTACAAGTGAGTTACAAAATTTAAGCTTAGAAAAGATCCATTTCTTTTTTTCTTAGGGCGAGGTAGTGTAGTCTTGGTCTTAGATAAACCCTTGCGTTTAATTTTAGACTCACTTCGGAACGTATCAGCAGAAACAGAAGTGCCTTTATGCGTCTGGTACTGCCTTGGTTTCTTTCCACTCCAATCACGAAGATTTCCATCAGCACCTAGAGAACACAAATTTTAGAAAAATAAAACAAAGAAAACTCATCAAACAAATAGAATAGAATTTATTTTTCAAATACTAGCTTCACCTATGTTGAAATATATACATAGAAATACTGTTACTAAAAAAAAAAAGACATGCCGATTCAATAAATGCATTCAGTAACGGCCAGAGATAAATTTTAGGATGGAACAGGATCTGATTATGGAGCCCTACTTGTTATAATAATAATAGTTCATTTTTAAAATAGGACACATTTTACATGCCACTTATTGATATTTATGTTGCCACTTATTTATTATTTATTTGCCAGCTTAGTACTTATTGATATTTTACCACTGCGTTGGTTTGGCACCAGGAGCAACAACTCCATTCGCCCTATGGTTATTTATTAAATTTTCATTTAACAATGTTAACTTATTTCACTATAGGTTTTATTCATATTTTAAGAAAGAGGTTATCAAAATATTACTTATTTCATGTGTCTTTCATAGACTAGTAACTAGAGGAAATCTTCTTTAAATGCAAATAAAACTTGTCTTTGTTAAAACCACTTCTAAAAGGATTAAAAGTGACTAATTTAGACCAAGGCAATCTTAGAATAATTTGTTTCTTAAATAAATTTACTGGTTCTTTCATGAATGAATTACTTCCAAAATAATGCTTATTCCTGAAATTCATATTGCCAATAAAATAATCTCAATCAAATAACTACTAAATTTATTTCAGAATGAGTTATTTTTTAAACAATTATTTAAGATTTCCTTATTTCTTAAATAAAACACTTCTAAAAAATCTGGTCTGGGACACCCATCACACAACTTTCGCTTATCACCCTCTTCTAGGCAGCAATAAGTATTTTCAGATAAGGTGAAGTGAAAGTAAAAATTATAGACGCTATATTTATTTATATTTAATTGCAAGTATTTTTATTTGTATAAGTACCCTTATACAATATACACCTAGGCAGAAATTTTAATATTTATATAGCTGTGATCTATACAATCAAATATTAAATAACACCAACAATAGCATTTATGAAAACCTTCTTCTTCTTTGTCTTCCTCCTTAGGGCCTATCAGCATGGAGGGACCTCGACCCATTTACGTCAGTCATCACGGTCCCTCGCCAGGTTCCTCATATAACCTCACTGCTCGCCTTTTCTCTGTCCCAGCTTGGTTATTTCATCAATCCAAATTTTCAGTGAATCTCCACTTGACCTCTTTTCTGTGGGTCTTGCCTCAAGACATTTTCAAGGTTCCCTGTCCTCATCCGTCTTTATAACATGACTGAATCATTTGAGCGTTTTCTTTTCCACCGTTTCCAGCATTGGTGGCACCTTAACATTTTCTCTAATACGTTCGTTTTGGATGCAATCTCTTCTAATTCGGCCAGCCCAGCTACTCTTCTCAGATATTTCATTTCGGAAGCGGTAAGTCTACTTTAGTGCCTATCAAGAAGGACTCAGCTTTCACTACCCTACAGTAGGGTTGGAAGGTAGAGTGTGTTTTATATAAGGATCTTAGTTATATTTTCCACCTCTAGTTTTCCAACACGACCGTGTTGCAGATCTGGTAATAGATGCCATTTGCTTTTTTGATCCTGTTTGATATCTCTTGGTCTATTTTCCATAAAAAATGTGTTAAGTCCAGGATATAAAGTGCCACTTCAGGTTAGCCAATTTTGACGAAAAACCTTAATATGCAATTTCACTTTCGTACGACTTTTTGTTTTTGAACTAGACTGTTAATAAACACACACACCCACACAGATCATTTTGCGGGTCTTGGTTATTTGGACTCAAGAGACCTCAAAACATGCATTTCCGTTGAAAACCGAAATTCGAAAATTTTCACGATCTCAATACGTTCCTTTACTATATATTTCACATATATGTAAATGAAAGTAAAAAATCTGGTGCGCGCAATACACAACTTTCACTTACCGCTCAACTTTGAATAGAAATTATTTTCTGGTCATGTTGGGCTATTATACAATTTTTAATTACTGTTTTAACAGAGCTAAAGCTAATAGGTTACTGCTAACAAGTCATAAATAACATTAAAAGTCCTATTTATTATATCACCGGTTGATTATAAGTTGTACGATCCGTTGATTATGGATTGTACGACTATTAGTTATTAAACTGTTACTTTCCATTGCAAAGATTACTAAAATGGAGTTAAGAGATTTTCATTGTCTGTCATAGACAGGTCAAAAGTTGTCACACTAATTGTAAATGGATACTATTGGCATATCATAAAGGGAACATTCATCAAATTATTTACTAATTTAATTTTCTAAAAGATTAAATGATTATTTTTCGGAATAAATGGACGACAGATATCTAATTATTTAAATATAATATCAGATCTAGAGTTATTAAACTACAGTAAACATATTTAAGGTTATAAAAATATCCATGAAATATTTTTATATTTCACTTCTTATTTCACACAAGTACAATGAAATAGTATCTTAAACAGTGGCATTGCCTTGAATCCATGAATTTTAAAAACTAAAAAGTTAAAAGTATACATTTAGTGAAAAAATTTCATTTAATTTCCTTGAAAACACGTGATTTACGTTAAATAATATTAGTTTTTAGAAATAATATTATTTATATTTTTATCGCCATTCTTCGTTACCTTCTACAATTCTCTATATTAGATATATATATATTTTTAATTCTCCGCTTCCCAATTATTATATTATACGTATATCTCCTCACTATTATTTCCAGATATTCATTTTCGGCCTGGATATGTATTTTTCTTTTTTCTCCCATATTCATATTTAGCATTTTTTCATAACTTCTAACAGTCAGAAATAGTTATTATTTATAATAAAACGAATTAAAGGTACTTTAGAGGAAGACATGATATTTTAGCACGGGCGGATCTACGAGGGGGGGGAGGGGAGAGGGGTTTTCGGGCTGAAGTCCCTCCCAAAATGCTAAAATATAAAAATGTTTTATCGAAAAAAATATTTAAAAAGTATCTCTTGAAGTATTATTGTTCGTATAATTACATTTAAAAGAGATTTAGGAATCACTTAACCATCATTTCATACAGGTAGTTAGCTTCTTTCTTTTTTTCCAAAGTAATTATCGTTATTTTTATAAAAAAAAAACTTTCGGGCTGAAGCCCCCCCCCCAAAAATTAAATCCTGGATCCGCTAGTGTATTATTGGGATTTCACAACGGGAAAATTCAACAAATTATTCACTAATTTAATTTTCTAAAAAGTTACATGACGATTTTTCGGATTAAACGGACGTTGATACCTAATTATTTAAATATAATATCAGATCTAGAATTATTAAACTACAGTAAATTTATGTAAGGTTATAAAAATATGCTTTATACACCCATAAAATGATTTGATATTTCACTTCTTCATTCACACAAATACAATGTAATAGTTTTTTTAAACAATGGCATTGCCTTGATTAGGTGGATTTTAAATACTTTTTTCATACTTAAAAATATTTTAAAAGTTTACATTTAGTTAGTAAATTAGCATTCAAAAGTTATATTTAGCATTTTAGAAAGACGAATATAAACATCGGACATTTAAGCCCTGTAAAGTGACATCAATGGGGATAAGAACTGATTTATATTAAAGACCACTTAATTATACAATAATACACCACTAGCGGATCCAGGATTTAATTTTGGGGGGGGGCTTCAGCCCAAAACCTTTTTTTTTTCATAATAATAACGATAATTACTTTGGAAAAAAAAGAAAAAAACTAACTATCTATATGAAATGGTGTTTAAGTTATTCCTTAAGTACTTTTAAATGTAATTACACGAACAATAATACTTTAAGAGGTATTTTTTAAAAAAATTTTCCCATAAAACATGGTTATATTTTTCGATTTTGGGGGAGGGGGCTTCAGCCCGAAAGCCCCCTCCCCCCCCCCCGTAGATCCGGCCGTGTAATACACCGAGTTTAATCAAAATCGGTAGAGCTGTTTTTGAGAAAATTGTAAAGATGTGTTTTCAGCGTTGATATAAAATGGCACTTCCGGTAGGCCGAATTTAAGGGAAAAGTTGCTGTCACATCTAAGACATATACCTATCTTAAATATGTAATATCAGTTTCGTACGACTTTTGGTTTTAGAGCTAGATTGCTAACATACAAACACATACACAGACCATTTTGAGGGTCTTGGTTATTTGGACTCAGGGTACCTCAAAAAGTGTACTTCCGTCAAAAACTCAGATTCGAAAATTTTCACGATCGCAATACTTCCCCTTACTATATATTACATATATAGTAAGTGAAAGTAAAAACATAGTGCAGCATGTATTGGACAAACGTTTCAATGCAGGGCTTAAATTAAACATGACAGGCGAAATTCTTATTTTAGAACGACGGAGGAGGGCTGATTTATAGGAACGAATGGCAAACAGGGGATTAGCAAACATGACGGGACAGTTTAGATATTGGAGAATTGGAAACAAGAATCCAAACGTGAAGAACAAGGTACAAGTTTAATGAGGAGGAAACAAGAGGAACGGGCCGGGGTTGTAACTTGCTAATCAGGGCAGCTCCAATTAAACAGAACCTCCGCATCCAAGGAAAAATAAGGACATGGCTCACATGACCCAGTCAATATCCAATGTCCATTTGCACTACACATTCAATTACTCTCTACCTAAATGTCCTTGTCGTCTACCCATCCCCAATGGGGCCCTAATATTTACGAGCTTGAGCCAGAATCGAATAGAGCTAGCAACAACTGCCCGTTTATATAACCTTAAATCAATTAAAACCATTCGTATCCAAATCATAAATTACTGTTATAATTAAAATATTAAGTACCTGCTAAAGATATTATTCCAAGTTATCCCCATTGGTTCAGAGAATATATTTTGAGAACATTTTCATAAAAATAAATAAATAAAATAAATGATAGAAAAACATAAGTTCTTCTTCTTGGAATATTTACATAATGTTCCATACTAGCCAACATCTTTTTGGAAGAAAATTTTAGTAATTATTTGGGTTGAGGATTCAGGAAAAATAGTGGTGATACAACAATTAAAAATAAAATATAGGTAACTAATAAAATTATTTTTTTATAGCAGCTAGATAACCCGGATTACAGAATATCCATAGTCACCAGTTTCATCAGCAGAGAACTCCTTTAACATCTGTAAGTCAGGGCTCGACGTGCCCCATGGTAGACGCCTGCCCTAATAACCATGAAGAAGAGTCCTATAGTACAAGAAGTAGAGATTTGACGTGGGGCGCTATATACTTCGAAATGAATATAAGTCTAAGCCTAATGTGTACCGAAACGAAATACGTTCCCGAAAGTTTAGGTGCTGATGAGTTTATCGGGGAAAGTCCGCGAAGAATCCCAGGAGTAATCATACAGGATGGTCATGGTAAGTTGATTTCTGGCATGGCGACAGTGCTTAATGGTAGAGATTCACAGGAAAATGCCCTTGAAGAGGCGGTAGAATCTAGAACATACAAGCGATATACAGCAGGGATGATCCATTCATTTCTGCCCACCATAGCGCATACTTGACCTCCGTATATCGACAGAGAATTTAGTGTGCTCAAGGATTTAATATAATAGACTCGGTGATGTTAGAGAACAGTTCCGTGTCCCTACACCGAAGATGCGCTTTTGAGGATTTTCAATGATTGCATAGATGGTGGATTTTTTTTTAGGAAATGGAATATTGTTGGCAGTGGCTCCTCCACAAAGGAGGGGGGCAGGGATAAGTACCTCTTTAAGTCATATAATAATAATAATAATACTTTATTTATTCTGGAACGAGACCCTTTAGAATAATACAGAAGGACAGAAATGTGGGCTAAGGAGCCTCAGAGATACATAAACAAAAATACAGAGTAGTTAAATAGTAAAAAAAAAAAAAGAAGAAATTATAAGTTACTTTCTAACTTAAATAAGTTTATAATAAAAAAAAGTAAAATAATGAAGTACGATCTAATAACTTATATACATATTTACAGTGGTATCTGTTTACAATTTTATGGAGACTGGATGTATAAAAAATGATTGAACAGGCGGGATTTAAAGGTAAGAAGGGTATTGGATTGACTGATGTGGGAAGGAATGGAGTTCCATAAGGATGAGGATCTGATAATGAACGATCTGAACCGAAGCAGCGGTTCGGTGGGCCCTTATGTATACATCAGAAAACCGAGAACGAGTATTGCGGGAACGAATAGAGGATTTGAATTGGAGGAGCTCGGAGATGTATGAAGGTCGGCAGGATTGGATGTTATCTCAACAAAGCGAATCTGTGACCGGATCTTCGAAGGAACAGTCATCTACGGAAATTCGGTTCCACAAAGGGAAAGAGAACCGCTGACGCCCTGCTTCGAGTTTTCGCACAAGTAGAATAGGACAGAGCAGTATTTCATGTTGCTGTTCTAAAAATATATCCTCCGCTTGGACAACCTCTGATAGTGGGCGCGAATGCAACTGCAAAAGTATCATGACATTGTAATGGGTATAGATCACCTGTGCCCTATATGCAGAATTCCGGATAAGACTGAGCATATCATTTTTAAATTAAGTACATTCCAGATATTGATGGCTAAACTACTTAGAGAAACCGGAAAGAAAGAATTCGCTCAGCTGGTGACTGCCCGTACTACAAAGAATCAGTGTACGGGTGGAATGTTGCATTAGGACCGGAGCAGTTTAGTGAAGAGGATTAGCCCCTGGAAGGCAGCGGATTAAGGAGGAGAAGAAACTGCATTAGAGCATCTATAATGACGTTGGAAGGATCCCAGTGAAAGACTATGAAGTGTAAGTATTTATGGGCGTCATATAAATACTGCATAGTTTCCTTATGTTTCCGATACCCGTGTTGTCGGAAGGCAACAAAAGGTATGGAGGAAATAAAAATAATAAATAATATAATGATGTATAAAATAGTTACAGAACCTTTAAATTTCTTTCATAAAAAAATCATATATATGGTATTGGATACCTACGCGTAGTTTCCCTTCATGTTGTACACGATATGTTACCAATTTCAAATTTACTAGTTGTATTTTTTTATGTAATACAGTCGTAACTTTCGATAAATATGTTTGTATATATATATATATATATATATATATTTGACATTTTCGAAAATATTCAAATTAAAGAAAATCTTTGGGAAAAAATGATATGTCATCTTTTTCCTCTACTTATATATAGATATCAATTTTAAAGAAGCTGGGAATAAATAAATTCTATTATAAGATCACTTAAAATAAAACTCACCATATACATCTGTTAAAAGGCTGTAAACATCCTCATGACCGAATTGCATGGCTATGTGCAGCGCTGTATACCCCTGTAATGAAATCAATATTAAATTAAACTATAAATTTTAAATAAACAATGAATAAGTTTTAATGCAATACAAGATAACTGTTGAAGAAATATGTTTTTACGATGATTGATCGTTAAAAATAATTGGTTGACTCTACAGACGCAGCCATGTCAATTAAATATATTTTTCTATAATACTACAATATACTATAATATGACTATACGGTCATGTCAATAACTGTTAAATCATTGTTTTAAAATTTAACTAGTTATTTTATTAATAAAATGGTAACTTAAGAAAAAAAGTGTGAAAACGTGATGCTTATTAAAGTGAAAGTCGGCACTGTTTAAACAAATTTGTTGTTTTACAAAATAAGAAATTACGTAGTTATAAAGAAATTACGAGTTATGATGATGATGCATACTATTCCTGCTAATTAATGTTACCTAAAATCGGTCTTGGTCTTTCACTTTGCAAGACCAAGACCAAGGCCGCCTAACTGTTGCAAGATCAAGACCAGGACTGGTAAAAAAAAATCGATTTTTTGAATAAAAATTAAGGTAAAATAGTTACTAATACTTGACAATCTTAGTTACTATATGTAAATAATTGGTATAACCAATATACTTTTGCATTTAACTCCTCTAATTTTTCATTCGGGCTTAGTTAGGTTCCTCCTATCCAAAAAATGACTGTAATATCTCTATAATAATAAGCTAATAAGTAACTGCAAAACCGTTGCGAGACTCTTGCGCAACATCAAGACCATGACCAAGAATGAGTTTGCAAGACCAATATTCGTCTCGGTCTCGCATTTTGGCAACACTATTGCTAATTTACAATAAAACTAAATAAAAAAATATAGCACTACATCTACAGCTACTCAACATCAGATATAATTACTCCAACAAATAAGGCAGTTGGTCCACAATCGTTAATCGTAGATAGAAATATATATATTTATTCGAAAAGGTTGGCTAGGAATGCGCGTAGAACTTTTTTCAGGACGATTGTTATTGTAAGATCAAAACCATAACAGAAGTAAAACCGTAATTGCTTCCCTGCTAACTTTTATGAGAATGTATTCCCCAAGAATATCTTTTCCAGAACTTCACTCCTCGATTTAGTATGGAACACGTTTAATTAAAAATAGCGATACTCAATAACTAATTAATTACATCATTCGGAACTTGTCGCATCGGCTAAGGAGAAACTAAAATTGGACGGAATGTCGGATTAGAGCAACTCGAGTACCGGTTGTGGTCATTTGATTTGAGTTGCTGAGCTGATTATTACAGATGTCATAACTATTGAGTGCCAATAGGAGGCACTCCATTCAATTCCAGCTTCCTTTCCTCCAATGCGATGCGAAAAGCTCCAAGTGATGTATTCCTCTATATTTACAATAAATAAATAATAATCGTCATTCCTGAGCGGAAAGTGTCCCATTTTTTTTTTCTGTGAGTATTATTTTTAGAACAGTGTTGTTTTTGTGGTTGAAATATTTGGCTGATTATCCGTCAAGTTTTCAACCAGAGCCTAGATAATGAGGCATGGAAATGAATCACTGTTATATCCCTTTAATCTACAGCCTAGTATCCTAAAAGAGCGTATGAATGGTCCGTGCCACAGCGAAAGCACTATGGGACATAGCATCCGCAGTTGGCTCCTACACGACCGCTGACAATGGGTTGTGGGATATTAATCCTAAACAGCGATTAATACATAATGGCATTAGCAGGGAGGTGGCGGGGGAGCTTTAGAGAAATATCGCGCCGTGCTCTCCCACTAGCCCTAATATAGGAACAAAGCGGACAAACAAGGTTGGTAAAAGGCCCTACTATTAAATTAAAGCTGGGCAGGTCCTGGCCGATATTAAATCGACACGTTACAGACCGCCGGGCTCGAGGAAACCGATCGTTAAACAACTCCACTCTTCACCCAATGTAAGCTTTATCTGCTCCACCAATTTTATAGTTTCACCAAAAGATAACGGATCTTCGAAGGTACGAATTTTATTAAATCACCACCGTTAAAGCTGATTCATTAATTAAAATAAGAAAATGAAACTCTTAACCTTTTTATCTGACAAAAAATGGAATCTCCATAAGGGATGCTACCGACAGGGATGTCAGAGGATAGGCAACAGTAGAGTGTCTATTTTATTTAACTTAGGAAGTTCAAAATGAATTATAATAAAAATTTGTTTATAGATATAAGCTCTAATTTAGATTGTGCAGCTGAAAAGGAGCTGCGTTAACAACAAAGGCAATGAAAACCCCTTAATAATTTGCATACTTCTAAAACGAAAATCCATGGACAATTTAAAATGACATCAGGATGAATAATGAAATAAAAAATAAATACATAACGGAATGCATTTAATCCGAATCAGTAACAAATAATATTAATATTAATTTAACCTTTATTTCATTAATTGAGTTTATTAACTGAGCCAATTGGTGAATCAAGAATTGACTATTCCTATCACTCAAAGGACAATGCTATTTACGATAAGCTATCTCTGATGGCTTAGAAATAGTTATCTAAAAGGCACCGCCTGAACCACAAATAGACCCACATTAACAAGACTTCGAGAACGATAAAAGATTTTAATACCAATTATTGATAACTTCCTTTGAAGCCCTCTTCCGATTTCCCTCATCCCTCCTACTTTTCCTGGGTATATTACCCCCATGGTCATCTAAACAAATTAGTAGTTATAAAAATATATGCGGTTGACAGAACTAAAATCAATAAAATTTCGCTTTATTGACGTCCAATAGATTAATTTACAGCTTTTTTATCATTGTTTTATCAGTTGAACTTCGATGTAATCTAAAAAAAACATCCTTGCCAATTATATTAGTACTTTAGGAATTCAAGAATAGTGGTTTTTGATGGAGATATGAGGAAAAACATAAAATAAGATAGAAAGTGCTAGGTGGCCATCTTTGACCCTCCAATTTGGATGGAAGCGGACACGGGATTTTAGGGGATGATTCCCACATTTACAGCCAATTATGAATTTTCTTGATATCAAATCCTAAATTTACTGCGCTATTATTTTTCCTAAGCTGCCAAATTTCGTGTTCAAAATGGTACTAATTAATTTACATTTAACATTAACAGAAACTTTCTATGATTAATGCTTTGATTAGTGTTCTGCTCATTAATGGTGTATACAAATAAATTAAAGAATTACACCACAGCTCAACATCTCATTTAAGTGAAAGAGTCCGAGGTTCATGTCCACTCTGAATTCATTGTAAACTAAATTCGGTGTTTTAGCCCAGGACAAAACTTCACGTAGAAAATGTTATTAAATATGACAGTAATCAAATTTATTGAAACGAAAAATGAAACAATTACATTTATTTTTGAACTATCTAACAAGAATAAATCTCGAGAGCACGATAGTAGTTTCTGACTGACTGACTTCTTACCGATATTCTTAGGAAGTATTACATTTAGCATAGTGCTCTAACCACCTGATTTAACAACTCAGAATAAGAAGTCAGGCTATACAACCGAAGTTCCTCGCTAACCACTGAGAATAGTTGGAGTAATAAATAATACATCGGAATAAATATATATAATTATAGAAAAATAGATCAGTACCAAATCAGTATAATTGATATCGCAGATGTTTTTCTCGAACCTTTTTTTTTTTCTTTTTTTTTTAATTCCAAGAAGACCTTTCAGACACCAAAACTAGAAGAGCAGTGACAGAGCATAGAAAATAACTCAGATAGGACGGAGGACCGCAGCTGACAGGGGGTCCAGAAATACTGAGAGAGAGAGAGAGGATTAGACAGCTGTATCTCGGAGCCTACAATTATTCAACATCCACCCGCTAAATGTGCTCTAGCTTAGTTAAATATACCCGCTAAAAATAGGCCACTTAGCATCTCTTAGTTCAATCTATCATCTTTACTTTAGGTCAACTTGGCGGCTATTGATATCTTGTATAACGGTGAGGGGATATATTTAAAAATAATTTCAATCATCTTTTTCAATATTAATCCTCGTTTAGCTTAATCAACTACAAGTTAAGATCACATGAATATGATTTTATTTTACAATCTAATGCAGTTAAAGAATTCGGGTTATACAGTTGACTATTTATCACTTTAGATTTAATAAAACACGCTTAATTCTGTATGCCAGTAATGAACCTAGGAATCTCTCAAAATGAACCTAATGAAATAATTCTGTTCCATCTTCACTTTCCAAGGAATTTCAACCAAAAAATGATATATTTTTAAATGTAACTATATAAATATCATATACTATATATAGATTATATATATATATATATATATATATATATATATATATATATATATATATATATATATATATATATATATATATATATAAAACAAAACATTAAATGATGATAATATTGAGATCTAGTTCATATTTCGAATTCACAACATTATTTAGATTCTTCAACAACATTCTTTGATAATTTATACTGACTAATTTTGAATTATTACTTCTTCTTCATCTTATCTGGGGCATCATGATGAACTTCATGAATCATAGCCTTCCTACCTGCACACTGCCTTCCAATTCCGTAATTCAAGCAGTTTTATAGAGTACATTAATATAAGATATATTAATGTAATTTTGTAGATAGTAAAAGCCTAACTAAGCCCGAATGAAAAATCAGAAGAGTTAAATGGAAAAGTACATTGGTTATAACAATTCATTACACATAGTAACTAAAATTGCCAAATATTAGTAAATATTTTTCCATAAATTTTATTCAAAAAATCGATTTTTTTTACCAGACTTGGTCTTGGTCTTATAACAGTTAGGCGATCTTGAGCAACACTACACACAATCGTGCCGACGAAGCTTGGACTTCCTACTCGCCTTGCACTATACACTCGGCCCGTCAAAATTTTTAATGGAATTGCTCACTAGTTCATTCTAATAACATGGCCAGCCCAGCAGACTTAAGTGAATTTGATTAAGCTAACGACATTGACGTCTTTATATATCGAGCTTAT